GATGGGGACAAAGGTATGGGGACAGGAAGGGGGGACATGATGGGGACAGAGGTATGGGGACAGGAAGGGGAAGGAGAAAGGGGGGCAGAGATATGGGGACAGAGATATGGGGACAGGAAGGGGACAGAGAAGCGGGGGACAGGATGGGGACAGAGGGCTGTGGAGAACAGAGGGTGACCACAGCGATGTGGGGGGACGTGCAGTGACCAAGCATGGCTCTCTGTCCCCGGGGTGACCCAGCATCCTCAGCCCCATGGGTGGCCTTGGGGACAGCCGGGGTGGCAGATGACACCCCCCCGGTGACCCCACCGCTGTTCCCGGCAGTGGGTGCCCTGCGGGTGAGCCAGGATCCAGGGGAGGCACGGGTGACGGCAGGTGACAAGGTGGCCCTGGTGTGCCAGGTGCTGGTGGCCGAGCCCTGGGACCTGCTGAGGCTGGAGTGGGTGAAGGACCCAGGGCACAGGGTGCTGTGTGACACCCGCCTGCACCCCACCGCCCTCCCCTCCCCCAGCCCTTGCACCCCCCGCCTCCACCTGGCCTGGGACCCTCCCTGGGCCAACCTCAGCCTCCGCCAGGCGCGGGGGGACGATGCCGGGTGGTACCTCTGTCGGGTCACCATCGAGATCCCCTGCCACAGCACGGCCACCGGCAATGGCACCCTGCTCAGCGTCAGCACAGGTACCGGGGGGGAGAGACCTGCTCTGCCCTTTCTCCCTGGGGGCCTGAGTGGGGTCCCTGGGAGGTGGCATCATGTGGGGGTTGATGGGACCCATGGGAGGTGGCATCGCCACAGGGGTTGATGAAGTCCCTGGAAGGTGGCATCACACAGTGGTTGATGGGGTCCCTGGGAGCTGGCATCACTGTAGGGGTTGATGGGGTCCCTGGGAGGTGGCATCATGTGGGGGTTGATGGGACCCGTGGGAGGTGGCATCATGTCGGGGTTGACAGGACCCATGGGAGGTGGCATTGCCACAGGGATTGATGAAGTCCCTGGAAGGTGGCATCACACAGTGGTTGATGGGGTCCCTGGGAGGTGGCATCACACAGCGGTTGATGGGGTCCCTGGGAGGTGGCATCACCGCAGGGGTTGGTGGAGTCCATGGAGGGACATGGGTTTGGGGTGGTCACAGTGCAGGAGGGATGGGGACAGGGACATCCCTGACCGCTTTCCCTTCTCTGGCACCAGCAGATGGAGGACATCAGGCAGGTAAGCGTGTCCCTGCTGCCCTCCTGTCCCCTCCACCCCGGTGCCCACGTGTGTGGGTGCCAGTGGTGCCGAGGGGGTGGCCCCAGCTGGGTGTGACCGCTTTCCCTTCTCTGACACCAGCAGATGGAGGACATCAGGCAGGTAAGCGTGTCCCTGCTGCCCTCCTGTCCCCTCCACCCCGGTGCCCACGTGTGTGGGTGCCAGTGGTGCGTGGAGTCCATGGAGGGACATGGGTTTGGGGTGGTCACAGTGCAGGAGGGATGGGGACAGGGACATCCCTGACCGCTTTCCCTTCTCTGGCACCAGCAGATGGAGGACATCAGGCAGGTAAGCGTGTCCCTGCTGCCCTCCTGTCCCCTCCACCCCGGTGCCCACGTGTGTGGGTGCCAGTGGTGCCGAGGGGGTGGCCCCAGCTGGGTGCCCCCCTCGGCGCACCCCCCCAAGAAGCTGCTGCCACCCCCCACGGTGATGGAGAACAGCACGTACGAGGAGGGGCTGCAGCGGGCACGGGACCCCCCCGCTGCCCCCCGACCCTGAGAGGAGCCATACCCCGATGTGCCACCAATGCCCAGCCTGGGGGGGGGATGGGGATGACGACCCCCCCTACCCCAGCTCTGCCTTTGTGCAAGAAAAACCTCAAAAAAAGGTGGTTTTGCAGCATCCTGCCACCCCGCTCGCTGTTTTCTGTGCGTCGCCCGCAGCACCTACCCCACGCCATCCGGTGAACCCCCCCTGCAGCACCCACCCTGGCCTGCCGTGCCAGGGCTGGGGTGGGAGGGGATGTCTGGTTCCCAGCCCCCCTGCCAGTCAGGGAAGCTGTTTTGTGGTCCTGTGGCCTCGTTTCGTGCCAGCACCCATCACCCATCATCCGTCACCCATCATCCAGCACCCATCGTCTGTCACCCATCACCCATCACCCATCCTGCACCGACCACGCAGGAAACACCTGCTCCCCCCAGCATGGACACCCCCCTTGGGGGTTGCCAGCACCAATCCGTCACCCAGCACCCATCACCCATCACCCATCATCCAGCACCCATCATCTGTCACCCATCATCCATCCTGCCCCGACCACGCAGGAAACACCTGCTCCCCCCAGCATGGACACCCCCCCCGGGGGGTGCCAGCACCATCATCCTGCCCCCACCCCGTGGGCGAGTTGCTGTGGGGTTGATGGTGGGTGACCCCCAACAGCGTCGTCCCCACGCTTTGTCCCCAAGGCCAGGTCCTGCGGTGGGTGGGGGGGACACATCCAGACACCCCCCTCACCCCTGGGCTCCTGGGGGGGTAGGGTGGGAGCGGGCACTGGGGTAGGACCCACCTGGTGGGACCAGGATGGGACCGGTGGCAGGACCACAATGCCCTCCCCTGGAGGTACTATAGAGTTCAGCCCCAAGAGGGACCAGAGAGTCGCCATCTCTCGTGCCACAGAGCACGCAGTGGGGCAGGGGCTGCACATCATAGAATCATAGAATTGCCCAGGCCAGAAGGGACCTCCAAAGGCCATCTAGTCCGACCCCCCCGCAGTCAGCAGGGACACCCCCAACTAGACCAGGTTGCCCAGGGCCTCGTCGAGCCTCTCCTTGAATATCTCCAGGGAAGGGGCCTCAACCCCCTCCCTGGGCAACCTGTTCCAGTGCTCCACCCCCCTCACAGTGAAGAAC